ACACACACACACACAAAGCTAACCTTGCCAATTCTTTTGCCCTCCACTGCCAGGGCCTTCATCTTGGAGAAGTAATGGTAGTAGGTCGCCACATAGGTAATGATGGACTTTTCATCAGGCTGATCAACATTAACATCTGGGGGAAAAAAGAAAGCATGATGCAGCTGCACCTGAACACTCCCCCCCTTTTATGATCTACTGACTATAAACTACAGCATGAACAAACAATACAGTTAAGTTGGCCTGACTGCCAAACTGTTACCATCTTCGGATATGGCTTAGTGACTCAGTGGATAGTGTCAGGTCATCAGTGTGACTTACAGGGATGCTTCATATTTTTGTGGAGGTTTTACCCACTCACCTTCTGGGTCCAAGAGCTTGGTAAGCCCCAGTTCTTTCTCAGCCACATTGAATGCATTCTGGAGATTGTAGTGAGCATTGGACCTCTTCAAGTTGTCGAACTCAATAAGGTCAGACCTGCAGTGGCCAGGGGACAATTATGGTTTTAATAAGAACAGATTGCAAAGGAAAACAGGGTGCAAGCAAATGGCACTATCATTCAGGCTGACATACATCACCTTCTTGTGGTATAGAAAAAATATTCTGCAGTCCACTCCAATACATGTCTCCGTTTATAGACCAGGGTGCATTAAATAATCCATTTGATTTAGGTATTGGCATTTGCATGCGAACAGGCTTTCCATCTGTGGATTAAGCTGCTCCTGCAAAGTATTGCTTATTCTTGCCTGAACCATGTTTTCATTTTGAGCTTACTTTGGCCTTAGAGGGATGTAAAATTGGTTTGGGGGGCCTGTATATCATTAAAACTTTAATGACCAATAAGCATGAATTGGCATTCCCAAAATATTGGAATGAGGACTATTTCCTCACTGAGATTCAGTTAACATGACCAGATGCTTCAACTGTACCATGATCATGAAACCTTTTACTTCACACAAGTTTTAAATTATGAAACATAATAAATGACATTTCAGATAGGCAAACAATGTAAGGGGAATGCATATTGTAATTGTAAATAGCGTGATCATATTAATAGCAGCATCATGGTTTACATTAATAGCCCATGGTTCAGTAACTCAAACAATAGCAATGTTAGCATTCATGTATCAGGTATCACTTAGGCAGTCATTGTAATGAACAATAAGCTCTGTTCTATTTGACTCAGGAGTTTAGGGTACACCTTTGGCTTTCAGTTGACAGATTCATTTTAACACAAGCTATTGATGACAACATTACCAGCAGGGTGTGCAAGTGAGTTCCTAAGCATGGCTCTTCATAGAAAATAAGTGGGTTATTATTTCTGTGATCTAGGTCATCTGACTCCCTATTTTATTTTCATCCTTTTAGCCATACTGCAGACTGTTTAAAGGATGGGAGGAGTAGGAGGAGACCTAAATAGAAAAGGGGATAAAAACACCCAAGAGAAGTGTGATGGTACTGCGACAGGCCGGCAAAGATTTTTGATTTGCAGGATGACTAAAATCCTTACTGACAGGGAAAGGCCTGTTAAAAGGAATCAAAGTACATGCCTAACAGTGGCGAGTTTATTTAGTAGGTAACATCAAGTAAAGGATGAAGTCAATGACCTGTGTTTGTGCACAATGGCATTGAACGCCAGACCATCTCTCCAGCTGGTTGTGAAGTTGTGGATGTTGACATTGGGGTATCTGCAAAAGCAAAATCAGAAGTCATTAATCATTAACTCAACACAACAAGATTTATCAGTAATCATGTCAGTAAAACTACAAATAGCATAAATGGTCAAATATATTTTCCACGTATGTTTATCCTGTGTGATTAAGCCATCCATTTTTCTCTCCTCTCCTGCTCTTTTCTCACCCAGCAGTTTTCATTTGGCACCAAAGCAGCAGGGCGTCTTTAGCTGATTTTTTCTCCTTGTTGTCCTCTGTTTCCACACTGATGTCTTGGATCTGTTAGAAGATTAGACCTTATTATTATATATCATATATCATATATTATTCCTGTAATCTATGATCTGTTAGTACATTAAACCAAATTTAGAATTATAAAGTCACAAGTAATGACAGTAAGTTCATGAAGATTTACCTTGTGAAGCACACTGCAGCAGCTTCAACCTCTATTACAATTTTTGTGAGTTTGAGGATGGTCTAAGTTATATGCAGACACCTGATGTCTCAAAGCCAAATTTGCTCTTAATTTGGCAGCTATGCCAAGAGGGGAATGAGCAGAGCTCCACAAAGCTACTAGATGTTACCTGGAAGCGAAGGATGATGGTCCAGATGAGACCCAGGGTGAGACGGTGATTCCCATCCACAATGTCGTGTGAGCCCATATTTTCTAGATGGACTTTTTGCTCCTTGAGAAACTGCAGGGCTTTATCAACATTCTCCAGGCAGTGGATACGCATGCGGCCCTTAGTGGGCTTTGGCTGTGGGGAGCAGAAGAAAAACAAAAGACATATGTTGAAATTATTGAACTCAAGTGATCACAACACACGAAGAGGACAGGGAAAAGAAAAACAAGTGGAAGCAGGAGGAGCAGTAAATCACACTCAAAGAAAGAAGAAATGAAGCACATGATTTCTTCTTCCTCCAGACTTGTGTGGTGCAGGGTGCATGAGGGTCATGTTGAGGGCCAGGGTCAGAGAAGGGTGGTTTCTGTGTGATACTGACCAGCTGTTCTCCTGAGAGCACTTCCAGAAGGCGGATAAGCATGCGGCCATCGCGCAGGTCAGTGTACAAGTCACCAATGCGACAGGTCACTCGGCCTAGGTGAGAGTTTACCCATTTGGTGAAGGTCTTCTTCTGTACAGCTTCACGCTCATCTGCAAAGGACACAACAGGGAGAGAGAGGGGATGAAGAGAGGGGATGAAGTCGCATCACACCAAGATTACCATCGACTCTGCTGACTGAGATGCCACTGGACTCAATATCATTAGTGTCAGGGAAATAAATATGTACACAAGGAATCAATTTTCCTCTTAAACAATTAACTATGTGGACTACAACTTTGATCACATCTGAGAGCAGGTGACAGTAAATTATAAGGACATAAGCCCTCGTCCCAAGGAGTTCATTTCACAGATAAGCTACGCCATTAAGTCTCTAGGATCACTGTATTGACAGCTTAGCGAGAGGTTTTCACTCTTCAGACTCAAGTTTACTGTTGGCTCTCCTCATGTGTGCATGGCTAATGATGAGTTCAGAAGAGAAAAGTGACATGGCAAAACTGTACATTAACATTCAGTCTGCATTTTTTCTATTTCTTTATTGGAGCAGACTAAAAAAAGAATCACAATAAATTAAGCTGTAACAGCAGCTCAGACATATGGACCAGGGGAGTAAGAAGCTAATCCTGCTCCGCCACCTAACAAGGTGACCTCATTTCTAGGACACAAGGTCTGCCTTTTGAAAACACTATTCTAGCATTGTACTTAATGCACTGCACCTAACACAAACCCACACAGAGCCTTTGAGACAGAAAATAGATTATATGAGCAGCTCAGCAATAATGAGCCTACTTGCAGAACCATGATAAACAATGGTGGTGAAGATGAAGGTCTGTCTTAAAACAATACAAAATAGAGTTACGATACATCGCCACAGTTTGAGTAGTAGTTTGAGTGTTTAGTTAGTTAAGTCTTTGATTAATAAATACTAAGCTACTCCAAAAAGAGAGAGAGGGGGACAGTTAGGGGACAAAGACTGCAGGTTGTGCAATCAACCACTCTTCTAACTGTCAGCTAAAAAAAGAACAGATTTTGAAATTTTACACAAGCCTTCTAGGGTGAAGCAATGTAGCCCATGACATAACACACCTCTGTATGTATCCTCTAGTAGAGAAGTTCTCTAGAAATAAGCAATACAGATACTTTCTTGTAATGTCCTTAAACAACAAATTGAAAGCAATCCATTATTAATTTTATACAACAAAAGTTAAAAGACTGTCACAGTTAATGTTGACAAGACATGATTAAACTCACCCCTACTGCTGTGACCTCTGTAATTTACCTCACTGTAATTCAGGAGTTGTTTTTAGCTATAATGGCCCTGTACAGTACTAAGCTTTTAATATTATATATTGCTTGTTAATGTTCCATCAACATGCTAAGAATGCATATGTATGCCATAAGCATCAGGCTAGTGTAACACACATTTCTGCCAACTCCAGATGGCCACACCTGATTTAAGACTCACATTTCAGTGGGTTTTGTGTCCATCTCACAGCCTTGAAATGAAATCTTGGGGATTGTCACGCGGTGAAAAAAACATCACGAAAACGTGTTTGTTGTAATCCTAGCTCAGTGATAATATGACACTGCACTGTGATTTGCCCTTTCTTGCTTCAGTTGCTGTTTCCCTGACAGTATCATCAGTCAAAGTGAGCTGGCCAGTAATAAAGAACCAATAGTGCAATATATTATTAGATTATTTAGTATAAAGCTGTTTGGCTATCCATGCTCTGCACCAGAGCTGAGGGCAGCAGAATGACACATGAAGGTGGTAATAGAAGAAAACAAACAGAAAATGAGTGCTCTCTTTTCTTGCTTGAGTCCATAGTGACAATTGGGTAGGGCACATGCATTTCACACATGCATTACAGACAAAGAGTTCAATAGTAGATAAACCTATGTGTCAAACACACAGCATAATGAGATAGATATGTTGGTCTATGTTGGAGAGATCATCATCTGACTACGGTAACTATGCAGACAAATGCAAAGAGATTAGATAGACAGGTAATTGGTGCCAAAGTACACGTATACATGAAACAACACGTTTTATGAAAAAAGCCTAATGATATGCAGGTTTTCAAATCTCCAAATTCAGCACAGATATATAATTGGAAGTTTTTATTAGAGAAATATTTAAAGATAGGTGGCTGTACAAAGATATGTTACAGTGAAGTCATGGCCTTCAGGTATATTTAAAGGGCTGAAGCTGAGGCAGGAACAGGCCTTTCCAGCATAGTTATCAGCTCTCTTGTCTCCTGGATGTGTGCTTTTTCCTGGTTTAACTAAACTCAAGGATATCAGACAAACAAGAGAGTGTTATGGCATCGCACTCAAACAGCTACTATCGGTCAAACAGCCCTGCTTTAGTTCAGCCCTGGTTGGTCCTCTATATACTTTACTAGGGTGTGTTGGTTGTTTGCGGTTGTTGTTTGAGGTTTTGAGGTCTTTCCATTTTATCTCATTTCAACTTTCCAGAAATGAGTCTCGCCAAACCTTTCTCTATCATGTACACCAGCAGATTGTTCCATTATTAAAGAGAGACCACTAAATGATTTGAAGCGGTTTAATGAGCCAGCAGATGTGGATTATTGTGCCAGGTGAAGTACAGTGCAGGAGCCTACATTCCTCCTGACGCTTGATCATGTTGTGACTGCACCCAGCATTAAGGAGGAGGCAATGAGGCAGTGTGGCAGTGGTCCTCAAGTAGAAATGCTGCTACTGCTGCTGGTGCTATACTGGTAATAACAAGGCTACTGAACAAGAACAAAAGACAAACAAACACAGACATCAGTCTCTGTGTTTGCTCATTATGGCAAGCAAACACAAACCTGTCATCAGTTGAGGCTACGGTAGATAAGGGCAAAACTGGTGCAGCTGTTTTCTCTAACAATGTGACATTTGTGGCTTCTGTTGTTAGTGCATGGGAGAACATGTCATGTCAACTGTAATGTTTGTACATCCATATCTACATGGTTTAATCATGTTTACTGACCTGTAAGAATGCTTAGCGTCAGCCAGAGAGAGAGTTTACTTTTTAAAGAGTATCCTGATGGTTGAAGGTGAGAAAAGATCAAAGAAACTTTGTTTACTCCGTGTTGTCAGATGTCTTAAGTCACACGTCACACAAAATACCTGCAGAGCCTGCCAACATTGTTACGCAATTGCATAGTTGAGGACAAGAGAGAAGAGTGGGAAAATATGAGCTTCAGAACGCAAGCCATGTAATTATTAGTTAGTCTTACTAAGGCTTGCATTATCTTAGCAATGTTAGCTTTTTTGACAAACAAATCCCACTAAAGTGACTATGCACACCTGCCTTGAAACATGGACAATTCAAAGTAATAAAGTGATGAAATACCTATATATCTATGTTATAGCTAGATATTGTCTGCTCTGAATATTAGCCTCCTGCGACGTGCGTCCTCATATCATTTTTTGTGAAAACTACTAATTGTTCAAAGACGATGCTTGGATAAATGGACCCTAGCAAATACACTCTCTGTCTAATGTGGATTCAATCAACAGCTTTATTTTTCTGAGATATATTTTTTCTACCATTAAAACTCTAGCACTAAATTTCTAGCCCTCTGGGACGAGAATTCAATATATTCTTAATACATTTTTTTTACAGAAGTGAGCATTCTGTACTGTTTTAAAACTCCCCTCACTATCCTGGAGCTCTACCTGTCCTTCTTGAGCCTGTATGTGTGTAAGAGAGGACAAAACAAGTAATCAGAACTTCTTATGCCATGTTTTTCTCTATTGTTTACTAATGGCAGATCAGAACTAGTGGTTACAGGTATCATTGAGTGTTTCAAACGCATATTTGGGCATGTCCAGTCAATTTGAACGTGTTTGTCTCTGGTAGTAAGCTTTAAGTATATGTCAGGGCGGGGGAGTGGAGTGGCTCAGCCAGTTCCCTCTCTACTGTTGAAAGTACTGGGGGGGTTTAGCTCGCTGTTGCTTTCCTATTTAACCCCAAACAAACTTGTGCACCGTTGATAAAGATGATTATCTACAGGTAATCTGAGCAAATATGCTGCCAGACTTAATCCTGTCTGTGTGGCTCATTGTGATTAGGATCATGTTTGGTGATAAAATGGCAGACACAAAATGAATCGGTGGGCCAAGGTTCACGCACATCTACAAAGGGAAACATCAAATCTATGCCACAGAACATAATGTGCAGTTTAAGGCCCCCAGCCTCAGAGTATAGAGGTTAAGGGGATAAAGTTGATGACAATGTGCGTGTGCATTTTACTCCAGACTGCTGCGGAGTAAACAGGGCTATTAACGGGCAAGTAAAGAAGGTTCAAGCTCAATGATAGATTGTTAACCAGCTGTCTGTGACCCGACTTCAAACTTGGAAGCTGTAAGTTCAATGTTTCATGTTGTTTTAGTGTTGTTTAGCCTGCTTAACTTTGTTTTAACATGCTGCTAATTGTCAACTGCCTCAGGTTAGAAGATTTCGGATCAATGTTTTAAGGTTGAAACCAGCTAAATAACAGTAGAAGGCTGGATGCCAGCACCATTATTTACATGTTGCTTTTTCTGGAGCTGTATCGCTTTAAACTGCTTTGTTTCATTTTTTTGTTTTAATTGGTTGTAGTGTAGGCCGAATTTCAGTCGACCAAGATTGTCTTTGGTTGACTACAGTCCAACTCCTTACCCACTGATCTTGCCCCGACACTGACAAAATCATCTGCTTGTCCATTGTCCATCCAGAGACAAAAATAAGCACTTGTGGTGATGAAATAGAGACAGACTTCATTCTGACTTTCCAAACTGAAGGTAAATTTCCTATGTTGCTCACTGCCTTCTCAGTGAATTCTGCATCCCCCGCTGTGTTGCATGAGGCTGCACATCAGTGACATCACTTCAGCATAGAGGACAAAGAGTGACTCCGTGCTTAAATAGCTTGCCATAGTAAGCACTTCACACAATAGCAACAAATGCATCAGGGCTTGAAATTAACTTTGTTTGTCCCAAATTCTACTTTCATCTATCCCAGACATAACCATTGACCTTAACTGAACATAATAAATAGAGTTGATCAGCTTGGTTTCACATGTTATTTCTAACAGTTTAA